AAAAAAGAAAGAGTAGAATGCCAATGATGTCCACTTGGGATCCTACCAAGGTACTATAGAAGAATGGGTACCCTCTAGCTTTGGCAGCCAAGGCCAATGATGAGGAAATCCCAATTTCCATGAAGCAACCACTGGTCCAACTCGAAGGAATTCTGGGAAGCAAATGGACAAAGAGGTACGACACATTGGAGACATGGATGTTTGGGAAGAAGTGACAGGAGAGCTGGATGAATGTGTTACCTGGAACCTGGGCCTTTCGGATCAAGAAGTTTCCGAATGGACTGGTGAAGAAGTTCAAAGCTAGGTTCTGCGCAAGAGGCGACAGGCAGATCCATGGCGTTGACTTCTTTGAGACTTACGCGCCGGTAGTGAACTGGACCACGGTACGATTGCTACTCATCCTAACTGCACAGCTAGGACTGGAGACCCAGCAAGTCGACTACACCGCAGCCTTTGTCACGCCGACATCGACAAGCCTCCCGGTTTCGACCTGATGTCCGAGATGGAGAAGAAGCGTCAGGGAGTGTACATTGACATGCCAAGAGGATACTGCCAACCAGGAAAGGTCTTGAGGCTGAAGAAAAGCCTCTACGGATTACGGCAAAGCACCTAAGAATTGGTTCACTCACCTTTCGAACAACCTCCAAGCGTTGGATTCACTCCAGCAACTGAAGTGGTTCATGTCTGTTCATTTCGTGAGAAAGTCATCTGTCTAGTTTATGTTGATGACACATTGCTCTATGCAAGAAACAAAGAGGACATCCAAGAAGTTTTGGAAGCCCTGAGAAAAAGGAAAATGGTGTTAGAAGAAGAAGAGAGCGTGGCAGGATTTCTGTGGAGTGGATATCACGACCGACACTACTCTGGAAAGATCTGTCTGAAGCAGACAGGCCTCACTGATCGCATCATCAAGGCTTTGCACTGTGGAGACCTTCACCTTCGTCGATACACCTGCCACCGAGTGCCTGGGAAACGGATGAGGATGGAGACCCACCACCTGTGACTTCAGCTATGCTAGGGCATAGGCATGCTGTGGTATCTTTATGGACACTCAAGACCTGATTTGGGTTTTGCTGTAAGCCAATGTGCTAGGTTTGCCTTCAGCCCAAGAGAAGCCATGAGCTGGCCCTGATCCGTATTGGTTCAATATCTCATAGCACAAAAGGAAAAGGACTGATCATGGGACCCATGACCACGGAGACCTTCAAGATGGACGCCTACGTGGATGCTGATTTCATGGACTCTACGGCAAGGAGAATCGTGCGGACCCTGCCAATGTCAAGAGCAGGACAGGGCTGGTCATACTGCTGAATGGTTGCCTATCGTTTGGTCCAGCAAGCTGCAGCAGACCGTTGCCTTGAGCACGATGATGGCCGAGTACTATGCCCTGTCGAACCTGCATGATGGAAGTTCTGCCTTTGCGGCGTACTGTCCAGACTGTAGCCGCAGGACTAGGCATCAAGGAAGAGTGCCTGACCTCATTCAAGACCACTGTCTGGGAAGACAACATGGAGCCTTGACTCTGGCAAACCTGGAGCCTGGACAAAGCACTCCAAGGTCCAAGTTCTATGATGTCAAGGTCCACTGGTTCAGAGCACATCTGAAACCAGGAGAGCTCGAGGTGGTCAAGGTGGACACCGTAGATCAACTTGCGGACATGTCACCAAACCCTTGATGTGTGGAAGTCTTCAAACGAGCTGAGATTCCGCCTCATGGGCTCTGGTAGCTCGTGCTACCATGGTTGGGGACGAGTTTGTGCTGATGAGCTTTTGATTTCGTGCAGTTGTTGCCTTGACGTCAATGTCAAGGATTTCAGCACGAGATCACCCCACAAGAAGACTTGGATTTCGTGCCAGAGGTGCGTCCATGCGATCTTGATGTCACAATGGTCATTTAACCGCGCGGTGCGTGCAGCGCGCTGTCGCGCGCAATGACCTCAGTGCGAGTTCGCATTTTTGGACTGACACCGGGTTCGGAATGCTGAGGAGTATTCTCAACGTCACCGACACGTTTGAGATTGATGTGAATTGATACACGCTATATGTTTTGATCTAGCGCTACAGCATGATAACGATCACAGCGAGATGTTTCTCACCGTGGACGTTTCGCCATGAGGGAGCACGCTGTGGAGCAATACATTCACACTACTCGTGTTGGAACTCACAAGTTCTAGTACTAAGAACTGCAACTACATTTACATATTTGCATATCATGTCGAAGTCAACCCTTATTAAACCAAAGCGGAGTCGATCAGATGATCGAGGCCGGCATCAACAATGCATTGAGGAGTTCGTGGAGAACGGTGGTTTGATGACCGCCGTCGGTCAACTCTTCAAGACAAGATGGATAACGACGAGTTCAAAGAGGCCGTTGACACCGCAGTCACTGCAGTGACTCCAGCCAAACGCAAGAAGTCGAACTCTGACTCTGAGGACGAGAAGCCAGCTCCTGTGGAGTGCTACTCGCACTATCCTGATGCCTTGGTCAAGCTGTTCAAGCAGGGCGACGAGATGATCGACCTTGGAGCACGTGCTACTGTTCCAACCAAGATTGCGTTCGAACAGTTCGAGAAGCTGCGCCCCGCTATCATCTCTGACCGAAAGGTCAAGAATGGAGAACAAGGTCGACCTCTACTCCAAGCCGAGCGACATCTGGGCGCACGTCGACCACGATATTCTTATGAAGCACTTCTCGCGTGGTGTCATCAAGTTTGCCAACTTCCGGCACGCGCCCGCGGTGGATGCGATTGCCGTACACCTCTACATCAAGCAATCCAGGAGTTCTACCCGGAGTCAGTGCGGACGACGTCGAAGAGCTCAAAGAGATATCAGCGCTCGTCATCGCATTGGACCCAACAACGGGCTCGCGAAGTGACTACGACAACAACAGGGGAACCGGCCCCACTTCTATGTTACATCTAGTACTGTTACAACGAAACGACGAGATGCAGTTCGAGTACGAATTCGCTACTATTTCGAGATGGTTCTCGGTTGATGAGGGAGTGTGAGATGTGATCGCGTTGTCACATCGAGATCAACCTCAACCTAATGAAGATCTACCTCGTAGCGTAATTCCCCTCTATTTTAGTTCATACTTTTACGTCGAACTCCCCACCATGTCATCCTTCACATCGACCTCAGTTCGTACACGACGTACACCAACCTTTCTTAATGGTGAACCAAATTCCAATTGGAAAGACTGCTTCCAGAGGAAGTCGGCAGTTTGGCAGAGCCACCAGACATAAGGATGTTCGTCATTGTGCTGTTGGTGGCTTGGCTTTCTACATGCAGCACCGCATCCATTGTACCGGCGAGTTCCAAAGTTTTACTGCCGCGAATTGGCTGGACAATGAGTTCTGGTTCGACATCAAGCTTCTGATAGATGTCGCTTCCCCAGCGAACAACACAAAAGAGATGCGCAATGACAGTTATGCCCAGCACATAGAAGACATGTTGAAGGCGTTGCATCTTGCTTGTTCCAAGATCTTGCACTTGGGCAGGAACCTTGGGGCTAAGGCGCTTGAAATGGCTATGGAGGAAGCAGAAGCCATCCGACAGATGGGGCAATGGGCCTCAGGTGTTTTCGACACGTCCTATAGCACCAAGCTACCCATGGGACCAATTCGTGCTCTTGCTGGATTCTTTGGTGGAAAGGACAGTATCTATTTCCTGACCCGTGGCAGTGTCGAACCCAAAGAAGAGCTCCTTCGTAAAACCCCCATCGGTTGTTGGGTATACGATGCTTTGGAAGCTGTTTTGGTAGCCGACAAGGATGGAAAGCACCAGACAGCTCAAGCCGTGCTTAAGTTCTTCCAAGACCTGAACAAGGTTTTCCTACAGGATGCCGCTGCAATGATGGTGGTGGATCCAGAGCGAGAGGACCATCCTCTGTTCAAGGAGTTGGAATGCTTCCAGACTGACGAATTTATGGTACGGTGCCGCTACATTTGAAAGCGTCTTGTGCTACTGTATGTTGTCACTAAGTACTTTACTACTGCTATCTACTACTACACAGGCGTTCAAACAGGAGATGCGAGTCGCTCTCAAGGACGAGCAAGATCCTCTAGATGCAAACCTTGAGCGCGTTTTGCCTGGCTTGCACCAATGGCACACTGCAAACAATGCGGCTGTGGGTATGCTTGGGCAAAAGATGGAATCAGTCGTTGATGTGCTGACACAAGGAATCAACAGCCTCATCATGTACACTCAACAACAGGAGCAAAGGCGACAAGAAACCGACAACCGATTGGCAATGCTACTTGAAACTGGCGCAAGTGCATTGAGAGGCAATGACAATGACAGCAACATGCAAGACGAATTGATGGCTCTCTTAGAACAACAACAGAATCCTACACAACCATACATGGTGGATGACGAATATCTAGTCCCACCAATGGATTTCGAGAACGCTTTGGAAGACGCTGGAAGGGTCAACAATGCAGAGGAAGTGGCAGCTGGCGCTCTGCTTCAAGTTGGTGTTAGGAGCCCTACTATGGTTCAAGTTGGGGGAGCACCAACTCACAACGGCTTAACAGAGGAGGAAATACGTCTTGGAGCCCTGATTGGAATTACCAAGCCAAACAAAGCATTCTTTCTACGACCGAAGCACCAAACGCTCTCTGAGCTGTACAACGAGTGGACTGGAATCGGCAGCAACCACCAAGATGCCCTTGGTGGAGTAGAAGGACGTGAGACGCACTGGAAAAACAAGTGGCAAAAACATTGGAGCAAGGCGCAAACAGCACACTTCTCTCGCACTGCTGGTGTGGTGAGTGGCATTCGAGCATACGCAAAGGAGCAGAATCTGGACCCAATTGATGCTTGTGCCATCCTTCAAGACGAATACAAAGAGTGCAAGATGTCTGTCGGGAACATGAAGGTCTGGTTTCAGAACCAGGGTTTGGTGGAAAAGGGAAAGTCTCGTGGTCGATCTAAAACGTAGTAGTAGTCTAATTGGTTAAGCCCTTTACATGTTACGTCTCCGACACATTCCTCCTTGGGCGGCAGGTGTTTCAATGCAGCGTCGTACTACTGTACAAGTGTAGCCATGGACGTTGGTGTACAGTGGAGAAGATCGTTACCTTGAAGTTGAAAATGTGAGCAAGTAAGGCTCCCATCGCCCGTTTCACTAGGTCGTACCTCGGGTGACGTTTCAATGACACCGGTTCTTTTTGAGTGCCAGTTGCCGAATCTCTGGGGTGGCTCGCGATTTCACCGGTTGCTGAAGGTCATTTGATTTTGCCGTGCAGTTTTGGCTTTGGCCTCTTGTCAATTCTACCCTACTGTTCCTCCTATAGTAAAACGTAGATTCGACCGTGGTCAAAACCAATACTCCAGTCAAAATCCAACTTTGACTCACTCGATGGCACACAGCACTAACCCCGTCTAAAAACCATCCTACGCATGACAGACTGTACTAATAAGGGTATATTATTTACGAAATAAGAAGTGGTACTATGGCTAGCTATTCATAGCTAGATTGAAGTGATATTCTGATATTCTACACTCTGGTAACACTGTGACCGGTGGGAAAGATTTTTTTGCCCCCGCCACCTCACAGGGGCACTGATTGGTTTTTACAGTGTTTACAGCATATTTCTGGGAAAGGAAACCATGACCAAAGGAATTTAAAAAAGCGATCTGCAACTCTGCAACCCTTTGAAAGGTTACAGGAGACCTTCTGAACCATAATGCTGCTATTAAAATAGTAGCTATTTAATAGCTAGCTGATTAGCTCCAGAGTCGAGTCGAGTCCAGAGCAATAGAAAATAGACGGCTGCGACAATACCATTGTGCATTGATCAATCTAAGGATCTAAGAGATGTAAAGTTTGTATTTCCAAATAAGTGAG